GAATTCACACTAACCCGCCCAGCCTCCCCTCTATGCAAACCTCCAATTTCTCGCTACCGTAGCGGCGTAGGAATTGGATCGGTGTGCGCGGGGCGCCCTTTTATCCCCTGCCGGGGCTGGGCGGAGTTACCGCCAAAACTTGAAAAGTTTTAAAATGTAGAAGTTTCCGTTGGAGCCCGCGCAGGCGCAGACTCTCCACAAGTGTGAATTCGCAGAGCACCACTCGAAGAAAGATGGTCACAGGTATGCAACCTACCAATATTTTATGAGAGAGTCGATGTTTTCGGACAACTGAAATAACACTTCTGAAAATCTGATATGTATTTTGTGCATTGGCTTAATCTTTGTTCCTAAAAGTTCAGAGACATAACCAGGTATATCAGTCTAACACAGTGTTTCTCAACCTGGGGGTTGGGACCCCTGAGGGGGTCGCGAAGGGGTGTCAGAGGGGTCATCAAAGACCATCAGAAAACACAGTATTTTCTGTTGGTCATGGGGGTTCTGTGTGGGAAGTTTGGCCCAATTCTATCATTGGTAGGGTTCAGAACACTCCTTGATTGTAGGTGAACTATAAATCCCAGTATCTACAATTCCCAAATGTCAAAGTCTATTTTTCCCAAACCCCATCAGTGTTCACATTTGGGCATATTGAGTATCCGTGCCAAGTTTGGTCCAGAGCCATCCATCACAGTGCTCTCTGGATGTAGGCGAACTACAACTCCCAAATTCAAAGTCAATGCCCACTAAAACCTTCCAATATTTTCTGTTGGTCATGGGAGTTCTCTGTGCCAACTTTGGTTCAATTCCATTGTTGGTGGGGTTCAGAATGTTCTTTGTTTACATGTTAACTATAAATCCCAGAAACTACAACTCCCAAATGACAAAATCAACCCCCCCCCCCCCCCCCCCCCCCCCCCCCCCCGCCAACCCCACCAGTATTCAAATTTGGGCATACTGGGTATTGGTGCCAAATTTGCTCCAGTGAATGAAAATACATCATTATTTACATGGCGATTCATAATGTTAGGGTTATGGGTTAATGTTATTCATTTTAATTATTGTATTGTTTTTAAGTGTTTCTTGCACAACAAATAAGATATGTGCAGTGTGCAGAGGAATTCATGTTTTTTTTTCAAATTATAATCCAGGCCTTCAACAGTTTGAGGGACTGTGACCTGGCCCTCTGTTTAAAAAGTTTGAGGACCCCTGGTCTACAGTCACATGCAACTCCTGGAATGATTCCATCAGAGTTGCCTCAGGAAAATCCTACAAATCTCTTGGGAAGACAAGCAGACAAATGTCAGCATGCTGGAAGAAGCAAAGACCACCAGCATTGAAGTGATGGTTCTCTGAATGCCCAACCACCATCTCCCAAAGCAGTTGCTCTACTCCAAACTCAAGAATGGAAAACGGAATGTTGGTGGGCAGGAAAAGAGATTTAAAGATGGCCTCTAAGCCAACCTTAAAAATTCTGGCAGAGAACTGGGAAGCCCTGGTCCTTGAGCGCTCCAGCTGGAGGTCAGCTGTGACCAGCAGTGCTGTAGAATTTGAAGAGGCACGAATGGAGGGCGAAAGAGAGAAACATGGACCGCCTTCCACCTGGAAACCAATGTTCTCACTGCGGGAGAAGATGCAGATCAAGAATAGGGTTCCACAGTCACCTACACTGATCTTGGAAGACTATCCTACTCGGATATGAGGAATCGCCAAAGTAAAGAAAAGTATTGTTGAAGGCTTTCATGGCCCGAATCACTGGGTTGTTGTAGTTTTTTTTTGGGCTATATGACCATGGGCTACAGGCATTCTCTCCTGACCTTTCGTCTGCATCTATGGCAAGTATCCTCAGAGGTAGTGAGCTCTGTTGGAACTAGGAAAAAGGGGTTTATATATCTGTAGAATGACCAGGATGAGACAAAGGACTCTTGTCTGCTGGAGCTAGGTCTGAATGTTTCAACTGACCACCTTGATTAGCATATAATGGCCTGACAGTGCCTCAAGCAAACTTTTATTGAGAGGTGATTGTATGTCCTTGTTTGTTTCCTCTCTGTAAAGTAGCCATTCTGTGATAATGTGGCATGTCTCATTAAGGGCCACATCTGCTGTTTCAGCACGTTGAGATGTGTTCCACACTGGGCATGCGTATTCAGCAGCAGGGTAGCAAAGCACAAGGGTAGATGTCTTCACTGTGTCTGGTTGTGATCCCCAGGTTGTGCCAGTCAGCTTTGGTATGATATTGTTTCTAGAGCCCACTTTTTGTTTGATATTCAGACAGTGCTTCTTTGTTTTCTGTGTTAATACACACACACTCCTCATCCCGACCATATGGGATGTAATTCCTCCCGGTAACCGATTGCCTTTTCAATAAATAGCCCCTCTCTGTCCCTATTAAGGAAGGAACAGGTGGCTGTGATAAACCAGGCAAAGGCGCCTGCGATTTAAATAACACTTGATGAAGTATTTACTTTGTGTCTAAACGATTAACTTCTTCCTTTCGGCGCAGGTGGGAGTCGCAGATCAATCCCGGCTTGGTGATTGTCATGCCACCTTTCTCGGCTTGAGCAAAAAAAGAAAGGGAAAGGGGGGGGGGCTTTGACGAGAGACCCGGGCATCTCTACCAGAAGCGACCCCTCCAGCTCTGAAGGAAGGAAGCCCATTCCCGAAAGCACTTCCGAATGCCCTCATAATATGGCAAACCTCACCAATTCTGTGGGGTTCAACTCTGTGTAAAATTGTCCCGAATACATCTTCTTAAATGCAGTTGGCTTGAATTCTGTGTTTCATAATAAACTCATTTAGTGGGATTCAATTCTGTGTTTCCCTAATAAATCTGGGAAGAGGTCTCCCGGAATTCAGTGGGGTTTAACTCTGTTAAAATGCCCCATGACAAGTCTCATTGAACTCGGTGTAAAAATGTCCTAAATGAGGCTGTAATGGCTGTGAACACACAACAGGCCTGATTCTTCCCAGCTTTTGCTGTGTTCCTCGCTTTCTTTTCTTCTCACCTTCTGTCATCAAGGACCACAAAGACTAAACTGTAGGCATCTTGACTCCATTCTTCCCTTTTCTTCTGGTCAGTGCTTCTTCAGCCCACCACTCCATTGCCTTTTCTGCAACTGTGACACAATTTTGTCTTTGCTTGGATGAAGCTTTCCTAATCGTTCAGACTTTCAGATCGGAAAAGCAAGTAGCTGAAAAGGTTCAGGTTTTTCACACCAAAAAGTCTAATATATATAATATATGTGTGTGTGTGTGATATATATGGAGAATGTGAGGGAAAAGATAGGCACATACATATATAAATACACAAACACACAGAGTGTATGTATGTGTCTGTGTATATGTTGTATGTGTCTATAGACACACACACAACATATTTATATACACATATGTGTATGTATATATAGTATATATAATTATTGCATGTGTATATCTATATAAACACAACATATATACATATATGTACATATGTGTATATACATATATACACATAAAACGTGCTATATAATATATACATGTATGCATGTATAGTATGTACTATATATATGTTGCATGTGTACATATACACATAATATATATATACATATATGTATATATGTGTATACGTGTTGTGTATATACACACAATACTATATACTGTATATACATGTGTATATATATGCATATATAGTATATATGTTGCATATGTGTATATACACACATACAACATACACACTATATTCATACATATATATGCACATATGTGTATGTTTACACATATTCACATACAAAATATGTACTATATATTTTCTATATATAGTATATATATGTAGTATATATAGTGTGTATATATAGTATACATATATGTGTATATATGTTGCATATGTGCATATATACACATACAACATAAACACTATATACATACGTCTACACATATATACACATACAAAATATATGCTATACATATATATAGTGTACATATATGTGTAGTATATATAGTAAACATATATGTGTGTATCTACACACAACATATAAACTCGATATACATACATATATAGTACATACACTATGTACTATATAATACATACTTATACAGTATATATAGCATATATATGTTCCATGTGTGTATATACACATAACATATATATATATACTGTGTGTACATATGTTGCATTTGTGTATACACATTATATATATACACAAACACACAGTGTGTATGTGTGTGCATGTTTGAAGGTTGTGGGGAAAGAGACAGGCAGACTGAAACCACACCAGCAAACCGACCCAAACCACCAACGTCTGTTTAAAAATGCTTTATTTTATGTTTTATTTAAAAATATGTACAGATCTGAAATAGGCTCCTTTTTGGTGTGTGTGTGTGTGTTGCATTTTTCGCACGGAGAAGTCAATATTCAGCGCTAAAAGTAAAGGAAAGGAGTGGAAGGAAGGAGAGAGGAAAGGAGAGAGGAAAGGAGGGAGGGAAGGAGGAAGGAGGAAGGAGGAAGAAGGAAGGAAGGAAGGAAGGAAGGAAGGAAGGAAGGAAGGAAGGAAGGAAGGAAGGAAGGAAGGAAAGGAAAGGAAAAGGAAAGGAAGGAAGGAAGGAAGGAAAGAGAAAGGAAGGAAAAAGTGAAAAGGAGGAGGAAGGAAAGAAAGAGTGGAAGGAAGAGGGAGGGAGGAGGAGGAAGGAAGGAGAAAGAAAGAAAGCAATCTTCCAAAAAAGGAAATAAAAAATACTTTTTCCCCTGCCTGGACACCCCCCCCCCCCAAAGGCCCTGCCCCTTTGGGGGAGATTTATTTATTTATTTTTCCCCAAGTGGTGTTTTGGCTGAGCTTTCCCCCCTCGACCCGAGTTCAGAATCATCGAGTCCATTTCTTTCTGCCGACAGTAGAAAACAAAAAAGGAACCCCAACAAAACCAACCCAGAAAGGTTTCTTTTATTTCTTTTCCCCATAAATATTTTTTGAAAAAATAGATACTATATATATGTTTCATATAATATAATATAATATATATAATAACAGGGATGAATACACACAGTGTATTTCTTTAAAAGGGGGAGAAGGGAGGGCCAAATCTGTCCAAAGCGGGGGCCCTGTTTGAATGGTGCAAACGATTCCACAGGGAATCCTGGAGCAGGGGGCGTCCAAGTGCGAGCTGAGTCACTAGTAGTCGTGGTGGTGGTAGTCCTAGTAGTCGATCTTGTTGTAGAGGTTGTAGAGGGGCAAGGCGGAGAGGCTGCTGCTCCCTCCGGGGTAGTAGAGGGGCGCCGGGAAGGCGAGGGAGCGGGGCACGGGCACCCGGAGGAGGGCGTTGTCGCGGAAGACCAGCGGCATGCCCACCAGCGTCTGCGCCGAGGCGTGGGCCATGTTGGCCGCCTCCAGCTCGGCCGAGAGCTGCCGCTTCCACTTGTTGCGCCGGTTCTGGAACCAGGTCTTGACCTGAGTCTCGGTCAGCTGGAGGCTGGAGGCCAGGCAGGCCCGCTCCGAGCTGCTCAGGTAGCGCTTCAGGTCGAAGGTGGACTCCAGCTGGTAGACCTGGCTGCGGGAGAAGACGGTGCGGGTCTTCTTCTTGGCCGACGAGGAGGACGAGGAGGAGGAGGAAGCCTCGCGGGGGCCGCGCTCCGCCGCCAGCAGCGCCGGGGAAGCCGGGGAAGAAGCCGGCGCGAAGGGACGCTCCTTCTCCTCCTTCAAGTCCGGCGGAGGAAGAGGAAGAGGAAGAGGAGGAGGCGCCGAGGAGAGGAAGGACGGGCCCCGCTCCGAGGAAGGAGGCAGAGGAGCCCCCACGCCCTTCGCAGAGCCTAAGGAAAACAGAGAAGGAAGATCACAGAGAATGTCAAATCTTCTCTCTCTCCCTCTCCCTCTCCCTCCCTATCTCTATCTCTATCTTTATCTCCCTCTATCTCTACCTCTACCTCTACCTCTATCTCCCTCTATCTCTATCTCTATCTACCTCCCTCTATCTCTATCTCTATCTCTATCTCTATCTCCCTCTATCTCTATCTCTATCTCCCTCCCTCTACCTCTATCTCCCTCTATCTCTATTTCCCTCTATCTCTATCTCTATCTATCTCCCTCCCTCTATCTCTATCTCTATCTCCCTCCCTCTATCTCTCTATCTCTCTATCTATCTCTATCTCTCTATCTCTATCTATCTCCCTCTATCTCTATCTCTCTCCCTCTATCTCTATCTCTATCTATCTCCCTCCCTCTATCTCTATCTCTAATCTCTATCTCTATATAAATAAAAATGTAATGTTCGTTTGTGGGATTAGCAAAACTCAAAAACCACTGGACGAATTGGCACCAAATTTGGACACAATATACCTAACAACCCAATCTATGTCATTCACTCAAAAGAATTGATTTTGTCATTTGAGAGTTGTAGTTGCTGGGATTTATAGTTCACCTACAATCAAAGAGCATTCTGAACTCCACCAATGATGAAATTAGGCCAAACTTAGCACAAAGGACTCCCATTACGAACAGAAAATACCAGAAGGGTTTGGTGAGCATTGAGTTTGGGAGTTGTAGTTCACCTACATCCAGAGAACACTGTGGACTCAAACAATGATGGATCTGGACCAAACTCTACACGAATACTCAATATGCCCAAATGTGAACACTGGTGGCGTTTGGGGGGGGGGGGATAGAATCTTGACATTTGGGAGTTGGAGTTGCTGGGATTTATAGTACACCTACAATCAAAGAGCATTCTGAACTCCACCAATGATGAAATTGATCCAAAATAGAATTAGCACAAAGGACTCCCATTACAAACAAAAACACCAGAAGGGTTTGGTGGGCATTGACCTTGAGTTTGGGAGTTGTAGTTTACCTACATCCAGAGAGCACTGTGGATTCAAACAATGATGGATCTGGACCAAACTCTACACCAGTGTTTCTCAACCTGGGGCTTGGGACCCCTGGGTGGGTCGCGAGGGGGTTGTTTATGTTTATAAATATTTATGTTTATAAATAGGCTTGAAGCTGGTGAAGTTCTTTCAGTGCAGAAACACACTGAATGGTTGCAAACAAGAACTGGCACCTAGGGGGGTCATGAGGGGGTATCAGAGAGGTCACCAAAGACCATCAAAAAACACAATATTTTTCTCTTGGTCATGGAGGTTCTGTGTGGGAAGTTTTGCCCTATTTTATCATTGGTGGGGTTCAGCATGTTCTTTGATTGTAGGTGAACTATAAATCCCAGTGACTACAACTCCCAAATGTCAAGGTCTATTTCTCCAAACTCCATCAGTCTTCACATTTCGGCATATTGAGTATCCATTTCAAGTTTGGTCTGGATCCATCCTTGTTTGAGTCCACAGTACTCTCTGAATGTAGGTGAACTACAACTCTAAAACTCAAGGTCAATGCCCACTAAACCCTTCCAGTATTTTCAGTTGGTCATGGGAGTCCTGTGTGCCAAGTTTGGTTGAATTCCATAGTTGGTGGAATTCAGAATGCTCTTTAATAGTAGGTGAACTATAAATCTCAGCAACTCCAACTCCCAAATGACAAAATCAATTCCCCTCTCCCCCAACCCCACCAGTATACTTAAAAAGTCAAAAAACAAAAAATACAGTACAGCATGCACAAAGCCGCATAAGTACACAAACACACATATATACACATATACACAAATATATACACACACATACACATATATACACACAGAAAATACATGCACAGACTGGGCTACAGGGATTGTTCGAATCCCTGCGTGAGCTCCCGCTGTTAGCCCCAGCTTCTGCTAACCTAGCAGTTTGAAATGTGAGTAGATCAATAGGTACAGCTCTGCCAGGGAGGTAAGGGCGCTCCATGCAGTCAGGCTGGCCACATGACCTTGGAGGTGTCCCTTGGAGGTGTCTATGGCACCAACTCCCAGAGTCAGACAAGACAGGACTGAATGTCAGGGGGAAACCTTTACCTTTACCTATAACATCAGAAGTTGCTGCAGATTATTCCACTAGAGTGGAAATCATCTATCAGATAGATGGCAAGCTATTAATTCAGCAGACCGAAAGCCAAAACCAAGATTACAACACCATCTGTTATAGAACTCTAATATGCTGATGATAAGGTTGTCTGTGCGTATTCAGAAGAAGAACTACAAGCCACTCTTTGCAGAAGTATAGGAGAAGCTCCTAGTGACACCCACATCTGAGATACCAAGGTGCTTGTTTGTGAAACTATAAGCTATAAGCCACGCATCGCCAGACATAATGTTGGTGGACAGGAAAAAAGATTTAAAGCTGGGCTTAAAGCCAACCTTAAAAACTGTGGCATTTACACCAAGAACTGGGACATGGCCCTTGAGCACTCTAGCTAGAGGTCAGCTGTGACCAGCAGTGTTGCAGAATTCCAAGAGGTACAAATGGAGGGAGAAAGGGAGAACAGAAGGCCTGACCAGGACCTCCTTCCACTTGGAAATCAATGTTCTCACTGCAGAAGAACATGTGGATCAAAAATAGGCCTCCACAGCCATCTCCAGGCATTCATCAGCATTCATCCACCATCAATTCATTCACTTGGAGGGCCATCAGTAAGTAACCCAGGCATCAAAACCATTTTGTGACTCCTGATTTTAAAGCTGTTTTAAAGTCAATCAAGTCATTGAATCTGAAACCACATAGGAAAAAATCAGAAGGGGCCAAATCATAAACATTCTTCAAGCGATTATGGATTTCCTTAGATGCACAACCTTCTTGTGCCAGAAATTCAGCGAGGACTCTTTTTTTTAGCTTCAGATTCATGGTTGTAAAAAGTCAATTGAAAAAGAAAAAAAGAAATAAAAGTTGGACCCACCCTTGTAGAACTCTAATATGCTGATGAGAATGTGATTTGTGCTCATTCAGAAGACATATAAGTCACTCTGAATACCTTTGAAAAAGCATAAGAAAAGCTTGGCCTCTCGGAACCCTTTCACACATCTGAATAAAATCCCATCTTTTCTATTTTAAACTGGAGAAAATGTGGAATTTTATTGGAAGGGGCCCCAGATGTTTGTTTATAAAGCTATTTTCTTCCCAACCCTGCAATAAGCTTCCCAAATGCCCATCATGACCACCTGCTCCCAACTGAAGAACTGAAAAGGGAAAGTTGGTGGAAGGCCTTTGAGCACTCTAACAGGAGGTCAGCTGTACCAACAGTGCTGTGGAATTCAAAGAGGCACAAATGGATGGAAGGCCATCCTACTCAGACAGGAGTGATGCCTGATGATGATGATGATGATGATGATGATGATGATGGTGATGATGATCCAGATTATCAACTCAGATAATCAAACAATAAGGATATTCTCCACAATGGGGAACTGGACTCTATTCCATTAGGCAGAAGTGCAAATTCTTCCTCCCTGACATTATTAGTCTAGAAATCACAACAATATTCATAGAAGAGAATATAGATTTTGATAATCTAGTTTATTCAATCAGTTGCACAATCCCTTAAATCAGACGCACAACCTCCCCCCACGCACAGCACAAAACAACACTCCCGTCCTTCCACACACACCCCATCACCACTACCACACAGCCCCCAATGCCACATCAGTGTGAAACCAAGATGGCAATAATTCAAAAAATATATATGCTGAGTGAGATGGATCCTCAAGAATGCTCTGAGATTTCTTAAAGCAGCTGGAATTATAAAGTTCTTCCTAAGAGGGGAGAGGGCCACCAATTTACAGTATATAAATGATGTAAATAAATAATAAATACAAAAAATAAATTCACTGTGCAGATGTGGTGGCCCTTTGGAGCTGCAGCTTCCCAAAGGTCTTCCCTGATAACAGAGGCCCCTTCTGCACCTTCATATCATCCACATTATCAAAGCACATAATCCACACGATCTGCTTAGAACTGGATTATCTGAGGCCTCTACTATACTGCCACACAAAATCCTTATTGTCTGGATTGTGTACAGCAGTGTAGACTCATATAATACAATATGGATTGTCTGCTTTGATAATATGGATTTTCATGTCAGTAAAGTCAGGGCTTGAGTCTACACTGTCATATAATCCAGTTCAAAGATAATCTGGATTTTTATAAGGCAGTGTAGAAGGGGCCTCAGGCTGGATCTACACTGCCCTATAGCCCAGGATCTGATCCTAGATTATCTCTTTATCCCAGATTATCTGGAAATGGAAACTCATATAATCCAGATCAAATCAGATAATCTCGGATCAGATCTGAGTGGGGTGATACAGGGGCTGGATAGCCATCTGTCAGGAGTGATTTGAATGCAATATTCCTGCTTCTTGGCAGGGGGTTGGACTGGATGGCCCATGAGGTCTCTTCCAACTCTTTGATTCTATGATTCTAGGGGAGTGAACATTCAGCCTTAATCAAGGGAGTCTGCAAGTGATTTACACTATGTAACATGGTCTATGTTATAACTGTCATTTCCAAATGAGTTCTATCAATTTTTAAAAAATGGGCAAAATTTATTAAGCTGCAAAACTTTGGGTTTTTTTTTCAGGTCTGCACATTTATTCAGGAAAATTGCAACTACTTTCAAAGTAAGTACAGCACCATTAAACAGGAAGTAACACTTTCAAAACAGGAACAGAACACTTTTCAAGTTTTGTCACCTATTAGAGTCTATAGCAGTGTAGATCCAGCCTGAGGCCCCTTCTACACTACCATATAAAATCCAGATTATCTTTGTACTGGATTATATGACAGTGTAGACTCAGGCCCTGGCTTCACTGCCACGAAAATCCATATTATCAAAGCAGGCAATGTAGGCCAACCAGGCCTACCTCCTTCAGGGCCCAAGGAAGGGGCCTCCTATATATCAATAAGCACATTAACCAGCCTATTTTGTCCTAAATCCAGAGAAGAATAACTACAACTAGGGAGGGTCCCTTTTCTAGCCTACCCAAAAATCCTAAAGCAACTGCTTTGCAGGGAAATAGTTCTCCTTGGCTTCACTATCCTCCACTTTCTGAGGGGAAAAAAATAAAACTCTCTCATCATAAACTACTTTGCAGGAAAATACTCCTCCTAGGTTTATTTATTCTTCACTCCTTGGGGAAAAAAAACATAAACCAAGCCCAATAACAAACTGCTTTGCAGGGAAATAGGAGCAATGGATTAAACCCTTGTGCCGGCAGGACTGAAGACCAACAGGTCGGAAGTTCGAATCCGGGGAGAGCGCGGATGAGCTCCCTCTGTCAGCTCCAGCTCCCCATGCGGGGACATGAGAGAAGCTTCCCACAAGGATGGTAGGTAAAGGTAAAGGTTTTCCCCTGACATGAAGTCCGACTCTGGGGTGTGGTGCTCATCTCCTTTTCTAAGGTGAAGAGGAGCCGGCGTTGTCCGTAGACACCTCCAAGGTCATGTGGCCGGTATGACTGCATGGAGCACCGTTACCTTCCCGCCGGAGCGGTACCTATTGATCTACTGACATTTACAAGGATGATAAAACATTAACGTCCTTGCAGATGGTCAATTCTCTCACACCAAAAGCGACTTGCAGTTTCTCAAGTCGGGGGGAAAAGGGGGGGGCATAGTTTTCCTATACTTGGCCGCCCATCCTCTACGTCACTCACATCCTGGAAAAAAATCATCAGCTCTCATAACAAACTATTTCGCAGGAAAATAGTTCTCCAAGTCTACACTGTCCATTTAAAGCAGTTCAAGGGCAAGCGGCCAGATAACAAACCCGCACAAAAAATGTGCGAAAAGAAAGCCCTGAATGAGCATCAGTGCTCTATGCTTTGCGTCATCCCTCAAACTGGGTTCCAGGATTTCCTAGTCATGCCGGCCACATGACCTTGGAGGTGTCTACAGACAACGCCGGCTCCTCTTCGGCTTAGAAATGGAGATGAGCACCACCATCCCAGAGTCGGCCCTGAATCAGCATCAATGCTCTGTGCTTTGTGTCATCCCTCAAACTGGGTTCCAGGATTTCCTAGTCATGCCGGCCACATGACCTTGGAGGTGTCTACGGACAACGCCGGCTCCTCTTCGGCTTAGAAATGGAGATGAGCACCACCACCCCAGAGTCGGACACGACTGGACTTCATGTCAGGGGAAAACCTTTACCTTAACCTACCATTCTTGTGGGAGGCTTCTCTCATGTCCCACATGGGGAGCTGGAGCTGACAGAGAGAGCTCATCCGCGCTCTCCCTATCGTATACTAGGACAGCACAGCGAACACAGGTTTGAAACTGCATTGAGTAGTCAGTGTATATGAAAATAATGGAAAAGAATAGGGGGAAAAAAAACATAGCCACAACTTCTGAGTGCTCTTTTTTCACGCCAGCTTGGAATAATGATAAACCAAGCCCTCAAAACAAACGACTTTGCAAGAAAATAGTTCTCCTAGGCTGGGTCTAGATAGAGTTGATAGAACCAACCCTATGCTTATCCATCCTCTGTGAAGAATGACCACAGACACATCTACACTTACTACTAAATGTGGAGAGAAGGCAGCTTGAAAACATAAACATCTATACTGACAATACAATGTACTTTGAATGGCAAGGTGCTTAGATCAGCGCCAGGAACTAGGTTAAGCTTGAAACTGGGATAAGCCAAGTCCGGATGCTCCCCAATAGAGCCAATAACATACGTGTAGGTGTAAACCGCGTTGCCAAATCAATAACGGGATAAAAACCCCATGAAGCCGAGGATGCTGTGGATCCTGGCACCAGCTCAGTGCTAGCCTCATATAAACATCACCCACGCCTTAGATCTACACTGGCTGGATCTACATTACCAAATAATGCAGTTTGAGCTGCATTCTGTGGATAATATATCCTTTGACCATATGATGCAGCCGACATTACCATGTCGGCTGCATCATATGGTCAAAGGATATATTATCCACAGAATGCAACTCCAACTGCATTATTTGGCAGCCCCAAATAGCAGGGAAATAAACATCTATTCCAATCCGTCTGTGCTTAAACCATCCTCTGTGATCTGCGGGTATGTGTGTGTATATATATAGATCAAATCCATTCCTGTCTTTGAAAAATAAAATAAACCCTCTCTTCTAGAAACTCGAATTCACTCTCATTGTTGCTTTTTCACTCCGAGTTGCCCTGAAGAAGAGGAAGTGAACCAAACGATTCTGTGTGCAATCCTGCTTTAGAATTCTAACCACAAAATTTTAGGATGGGTCAGGATTCAGTTCCTCCCTTTCACCCCGTTGTGGTTAATGGGGTTGGTTCTCTGGGAAGGGTTCTCTCTCCAAACCGATACTTTTAGACATACTTTCCATGGGCGAAAAGGAAGTTGCCATTCGATTCTATTCAACTTAATTCTGTTGTTAAAAACGCACAAGTAAACTAGGGTCAGATCTTTCCAAGTTGCTTTTCTACTCTATGGTTTGTTTGTTGGTATTTATGTGTCTCAGATATAATGCCATAGATATAGATATAGATTAGACACACGATCTATATAAAGAAAAATGTAATGTTCGTTTGTGGGATTAGCATAACTCAAAAACCACTGGAAGAATTGACACCCAAGTTTGGACACAAGACACCTATCAGGCCAAGAAGTGACCATCACTTATAAAAAATACTGAAAAACACAGCAGATAAGACTTAAAAAGCAAAAAAAAAAAACCACATTACAAGGCATGTGCAAAACCACACACATATATATGCGAACACACATATATACACATATATACACACACACACACAAAACACATATACACAGACTGGGCCACAGCAACCCGTGGCAGTGGAGGGCTTGTGTGTGTGTGTGTGTGTATGCATGTGTGTATACATATATATATATATACACACACAATATACACACAGACTCTCTCTCTCTCTATATATATATATATACAGATACACACTTACTATATATATATACTTTTCAGGCTTTTATGGCAGGAAATCCTAGGTGGTTGTAGTTTTTGTATATATACACAAATTTTATATCTATAGCTATATCTAGGATTATATCTGAGAAAGGTAAACATAAACAAACAAGGGGTAGAAAGTATATTGGATACACACATACACAATATATATACACACACATACACAGACTCTCTGACTCACTCTCTCTATATATACACACATACTATATACACACACACACATATATATACATACACACACATACATATACACATACATACACAAACAATTTATTATATCTGTATCTAGGATTATATCTGAGAAAGGTAAACACAAACAAACAAGGAGTAGAAAAGTATATTGGATATATATACACACACACACATACATATATGAGCACACATATACATACATACATACACATACACACTGAACTAGTACTTGTGCATATTTTTGTAAAAATACCGGTCAGTATGTATGTGTGTATATCTTGCCTTTCCCTTTTTTTCAGGAGATCTCACTTGTTCATTCTGGTGGATCTCTGTCGCTTGAGATAATTTGTTGAATATATACAGAAATATCTATATGTCGAACCTATCAGAGGTTTGTTTTCGTTTTTTTAGCCGATCATAGCGGCAATAAAAGTTTTCTTTCCCTTTTTATGCAACGAAATCTTCGCGTGGAGGACAGGTCAGGCTTATCTATAAGAATGAGCAAGTGATACCTCCAGAAAGCAAAGGAGAGGCAAATAAAAATAAATAACTATATGCATGTGTGTATATATATGTGTGTGTGTTATATGTATATATATAAATTATAGTAATAACTATAATATATATATAGTAATAACTATAATATCTATATGATGCATAGTATGTATATCTATGCATCATATATATATTATATACATACACATATATAATATAATAATAAAATATATTATATGTACTATATAATATAATATAATATAATATAATATAATTTTAGTAATAACTATATATGTGTGTATGTATATAATATAGAATATACATATAATATAAACAATATATATATGCAATATATGTAATATAATATAATAATATAATATATTATATATATTATACTATATAGATAGATAGATAGATAGATACACACACACACCTTCATACATTGATATTATATATATATATATTCCAAAAACGTTTCCTCTCATTTCCTTTGAATGGTTGGCTACATTCAGCCTCCTCTTCCCAGTAATATGTATAAGAATTAAAAGCATTTTTAAAACCCATATAAACGACACGTGCCTTTTAAATCTTACACCTCTGCATGACAGAAACACCTTGCCCGGGCTTCCCACCCGTGTCTGAAACTTAATTCTCAGCCGAGCTGTCATTTAAAAACAAAAACGAAACAAAACTGTGTCTACACTGTCCGTTTAACACGTTTTAAAACTTAGCTTCCAACTGCGGGCGCCCAGAAGAGCCAACTCCCCCAAAAGGAATCCCTTCGTGGGATTTGTGATACCGGTATTGGGTTGGAAACGGCATTGAGTCTTGGTGTGACCTTACTTTTAGAAAACTGGTTTCCAAAAGGAACGGTTTTTTTTTTTTCAGAGCCAAAGTATTGTCAAAGGCTTTCATGGCCGGAATCACTAGATGGTTGTAGTTTTTCGGGCTGTATGGCCATGTTCTAGTAGCATTCTCGCCTGACGTTTCGCCTGCATCTCTGGCAAGCATCCTCAGAGGTTGTGAAGTCCTCTGAAGACCTCACAACCTCCGAGGATGCTTGCCAGAGATGCGGGCGAAACGTCAGGGGAGAATGCTACTAGAACATGTCCATACAGCCCGAAAAAACTACAACAACCCAAAGAGGCAAAGGTTGGGTCTATGGTAGAGTGTAACTCAAGCTTCATTCTCCACTGAGCAGTTGATGCTGTTCAAAGGAAGTGTAGACCCGGGTGTCCTTGGCCACTCCACCCCTTTGCCCTGCTTACCGAGACAGGCGAAGGCGGCGAGGGTCTGCCGCTTGTGGGGGACTTCTTTGGGGCCGCAGAAGCAGGCGGGGGGCTTCCATCCCTCGTCGGGCTCCTCTTCCTCGGAGGAGACGGAGAGGCTCCTTTTCCTGCCGGGCCACGACGAGACGGAGGCTCCTTCCGAAGTGGGTCCGCCGCTCTTGCTGTTGCCCAGGATGGACTGGATGGTGAAGCTGGAAATCGGGGTGGTGGTGGTGGTGCTGGTGGTGGTGACGGCGGCGGGTGGGCAGCCCTTGCTCGGCTCCTCTTTGTTGCTCATCCTGGGCTCATAAGAAAGGGGAGGAGGAGGAGGAAGAAGAAGAGAAGAGCGGCGGCGGGTTTAGAACGGGTCGGGGAGGAGGACAAAAAGGGGGGCGACGGCGAGGGGCGTTTGGGGCAGCTTTCCCCTGAGCCGCCCGAGCCCGACTGCATGCTCCTTTCCCGCTCAGGTCTCTATTGATCTCCCGGCGGCAGCGGCGGCGGGGCCTCATTTGCATGGAGGGCCCGCCTTGGCCAATCACGAGCCGACCCGCAGGCCCGGAAAGTTTCAAAATTCTAGGACGCCCCACAGAATATTTCTTTCCCCCCTCCGCCCTTTCACTCCAAAACACAACGCGTTGAAATGCATGGATTTTTGTCTGGAGTGGGAACCTATTCCTCGCACTACTACTACTATTCAAAGCCAGGCTTTGAAGCTGCAAGGCCATTCAATGCTAACCAAGGTGGCTAATTGCATCATTCAGGCATGAATCAATCAGGGCCAGCTAACACGTCCCAACTCTCTCTCTCTCTCTCTCTCTCTCTCTCTCTCTCTCTCTCTATATATATATATATATATATACTTATTCTCTCAGGCAGCAACTAGCCAGATTTTGATGGGGCAAGGGCATTTAATGCTAATCAAGGTGGCCTATTGCAACATTCAGGCATAAATCAATCAGGGACAACTCAGACTTCCCAACAAAGGATTTTCTCAGGCAGCAACCAGCCAGGTTTTGAAGCTGCAAGGCAATTCAATGCCGATCAAGGTGGCCAATTGCAACATTCAGGCATGAATCAATCAGAGACAGCTAACACTTCCCAACAAAGGATTTTTCTCAGGCAGCAACCAGCCAGGTTTTGAAGCTGCAAGGCCATTCAATGCCGATCAAGGTGGCCAATTGCACCATTCAGGCATGAATCAATCAATCAGGGCCAGCTAACACTTCCCATGTATCAATCAGGGCCAGCTAACATGCCCCAATTCTCTTTCTCTCTCTCTCTCTCTATATATATATATATACTTATTCTCTCAGGCAGCAACTAGCCAGATTTTGATGGGGCAAGGGCATTTAATGCTAATCAAGGTGGCCTATTGCAACATTCAGGCATAAATCAATCAGGGACAACTCAGACTTCCCAACAAAGGATTTTCTCAGGCAGCAACCAGCCAGGTTTTGAAGCTGCAAGGCAATTCAATGCCGATCAAGGTGGCCAATTGCACCATTCAGGCATGAATCAATGAGGGCCAGCTAACACTTCCCATGAATCAATCAGGGCCAGCTAACATGCCCCAATTCTCTCTCTCTATATATATATATATATATCCAGATTTTGATGGGGCAAGGGCATTTAATGCTAATCAAGGTGGCCTATTGCAACATTCAGGCATGAATCAATCAATCAGGGACAGCTAACACTTCCCAACAAAGGATTCTCTCAGGCAGCAACCAGGCAGGTTTTGAAGCTGCAAGGCCACTCAATGCTAATCAAGGTGGCCAATTGCAATATTCATATTTGCCTGCAAAAGACAAAAATCATAGAATCCTTGAGTTGGAAGAGACCTCGTGGGCCGTCCAGTCCAACTACTACTACTACTACTATTCAAAGCCACGCTTTGAAGCTGCAAGTCCATTCAATGCTAATCAAAGTAGTCAGTTGCAACATTCACTCTTGCCTCCAACAGGCATGAGTTCTTTCTCCCACCCTGGACATTCCACATATATATAAACATCACTCTCCTAATTTCCAACAGACCCCTCAACCTCTGAGGATGCCTGCCATAGATGTGGGCAAAACGTCAGGAGATAATGCTTCTGGATCAGGGCCACACAGCCTGGAAAACTCACAGCAACCCAGGGATTCCGGCCAGGAAATCCTTTGACAACACAATCCTGCATTAGATTGCTCAGTAGTCCTGTTTTGTATAATATGCTTTCCATTATTGGGAACTATGGTCAGCTCTAGTGGGAGGTGTAATGTAATGCTTCTATGGACATTCCACAAATATATAAACCTCACTTGCATCGTTTCCAACAGACCTCACAACCTCTGAAGATGCCTGCCATAGATGGTCAGTGATTGTTTTTAAGTGCTGGCCAAGGTCTTTGGGCACTGCACCCAGCAGTGCCCAAAGTGCCGATTATAACTGGGGCCACCTTTACTGGCTTGTGCCAGAATCTTTGCAGTTCTGTCTTTAAATCCTCCTATCCTGTAAACATTATTATTATTATTATTATTATTATTATTATTATTATTATTATTATTTTAAGCACATTCTAGTAGGAGGAAATCAAATAGATGCTCCCGATGGAAGTTGGAGTCCCTCTCCTTCCCTATATTATTATTATTATTATTATTATTATTATTATTATTGCATTATTATAATATTTATTTATACCCCGAGTCCTCTGTGGAGATAGGGTGGAACATAAATGATGATGGTGATTATTATTATTATTATTATTATTATCATCATCACCATTATTATTTCCCAGCTTTTATCCAGCTGTATTTTATATGGGGCCTCAGAACCCTTCCACACCGCCGTAAAATCCACACTGAACTGGATTATATGGCAGCGTGGACTCAGATAACCCAGTTCAAAGTAGATATTGTGGATTATCTGTCTTGATATTCTGGGTTATATGGCTGTGTGGAAGGCTCCTCAAAGCGGTTTGATCCAAATCAATTTTAAAAATCATTTAAAATACAAATATTCAAACATTAAACTAGAAATAAATATAAAACAGTATTTGAAAAAAAAATCAGTTAAAATCCCATCTCTTCTAAAACATGGCCATACACCTCCACCTTCCATGTCTAACACTATGTAACACGATTTGGTTCCTGGGTTATAAATGTCATTTCCAAATAGGCTCTATCATCAAAACATGGGGAAAGTTTATTAAACTGCCCAAAACTTTTTGAGGGACATCTTGCTATAGTACATTTACCTATAATTCTTCAATGGATATCTCCTAGAGCCTTAACCAATCCAACCACAGAAAACAGGAATTCCAGACATGAATCAATCAGGGCCAGCTAATCACCTTCCAATAAAGAATTCCCCCAGGCAGGAAGCAGCCAGGCTTTGAAGCTACGAGGCCATTCAACGCTAATCAAGGTGGCCAGTTGCAACATTCATACTTGCCTGCAACAGACAAGAATCATAGAATCATTGAGTTGGAAGAGACCTCGTGGACCATCTAGTCCAACTACTACTACTACTACTACTATTCAAAGCCAGGCTTTGACGCTGCAAGTCCATTCAACCTCAGAAAACTGAAAAATTCTGGACATGAATCAATCAGGGCCAGCTAACACTTCCCAACAAAGGATTCTCTCAGGCAGCAACCATCCAGGCTTTGAAGCTGCAAGGCCATTCAATGCTAATCAAAGTGATCAATTGCAACATCCACACTTGCCTCCAACAGACAGGAGTTCTTTCTCTCACCCTGGACTTTCCACAGATATATAAACCTCACTTGCCTAGTTTCTAACAGACCTCAAAACCTCTGAGGATGCTCTGCCATACAAGCAGGTGAAACGTCAGGAGAGAATGCTTCTGGATCATTGCAAAACCCAAATCCAACCTAATTTGTGCCAGCCACAAAAACAAAGTTTCCAGAGTATAACAAGAATTTTCTTGCATAAAGAAACAGGAAATAGCACTTTCAAAGCAGGAACAGAAAATGTTTTCAAATTTAGCTACTCGAGGACCAAATCTAGGGTTGTTTCTAGCTGTAGAATTAATACAGTTTACACATCTATCTACACTGGTTCGGGATGGCCTCATCCTCCTCTTTGGAAACATTTTTCTCTCACACCCCTCACAAAATAATCTGGAAAATGACTGGAAGAAGAAGAGGAGGGAGTCAAGAAGGCAAAGCCGAGCCAATTCGGGGCTTTGGAGAGAATAGCTCCTCCTGAGTATCACTTGGGAGAAAGAGACAAGGATGGAGGGAAGAATGCAATAGAAAAGGAGGGAGAGGCTCTGTTTGTTCAGGATCTGGGGATGGGGACTTTGCAGGAGAAATGAAAGGGCCCCCCTTTTCCCCCTTTCAAGCACTCTGGCGCCAGGTCCGACCTGAGAAATGCCTTCCTCGTCCCAAAAATGCGACAAGGAAGCCCTCTAATCTCTCCCCTGGGATGTCATCCATCCCGACGGTGAGGAGGAGGAGGAGAAAGGAGGAGGGTTTGTCTTTGAACAATACGCAATGATTTGGCCTTTTGTTGGAAAGAGTGGCAGACCTCCTTTGCCAACGCTTGCATTGCTATCTGGCCTGAGCATCTTAGATCTCTGGAAGGAGAGGGGATTGTATGGAGAGGATTTTCGGGTCCATTTACACTGCAGAATTATTGCAGTTTGGCACCACTCAATGCTATGGAGCCCTGGGGGGAGGGGGGGTTGTAGTTTGGCGATGCACCCACAATCCATGACAGGGAAGGCTTGTGAGGCTACAAATCCCACTATTCCATAACACTGAGGCATGGCACTGTCAACTGGCATTGATTGTAGAGTGTAGAGGTGTGTGAGCACTCTGTAGACTGAGGCCCCATCTACACTGCCATACAAAATCCAGTTTATCTGCTTTGAACTGGATTATATGGCAATTTAGACTCATATAATCCAGTTCAAAGCAGAGAGTGTGGATTATCTGCTTTGGTAATCTGGATTATATGGCAGTGTAGAAGGGCCACAGGTGGCCTTGATAAACTGGGCCCTCCACTGCAACACTGGCTTCAGCACTAGCCTTATAGCTCTCAACCTGAGGGTCGGGGTTGGGGACCTCTGGGGGGGGGGGTCGCAAGGGAGTGTCAGAGGGGTCACCAAAGACCATCAGAAAACACAGTCTTTTCTGTTGGTCATGAGGGTTCTGTCTGGGAAGTTTGGCCCAATTCTATCATTGGTGGAGTTCAGAATGCTCCTGGTTGTAGGTGAACTATAAATCCCAGCAACCTCAACACCCAAATATCAAGGGCTATTTTATCCAAACTCCAGTAGTGTTCACATTTGGGTAGATTGAGTATTCATGGCAAGTTTGGTCCAGATCCATCATTATTTGAGTCCACAATGGTCTCTGGATGTTGGTGGACTACAACTTCAAAACTCAAGGTCAATGCCCACCAAACCCTTCTAGTGTTTTCTGTTGGTCATGGGAGTTCTGTGTG